CTGTAAATCTCATTCAGCCCAAATGTTGGGTATTGTTTTGCTCTTTATTTTGAAGTTCAAAATATTTTAAATGTTACAGGTTAAAAACATTCATGGTTAAATGTTAGGAAGCAAGTCAGAACTGCAGAACTTGTACCTAAAATATGTGCTATCATTCAGAATTAAACCTTTGTTTAGTCATTATTTTCAAATTACTGCTACAATTACACAACACACACAGCTCAAGAGAAGCTCTCAGAGTAGAAAGTTAATAAGACATAGAGGACATTTGATTTCAAACATGAAGCAGGAAGGTACAGACAAGAATTATTTTATAAAAAACAAAAACAACAAACACCAAACCTTAAGGAAATTGTTGTTACTGTTATTGAAGTTGCCAGATACTCCTTGCATTTCAGCCACAGTGCTCTAAAACAGTTGACAGAAACAATTAAAGAGAGTCCCACTCCCCACCCCACCAAGACAACAGTGTCGTGTGAAGGACAGAGAAACACAAGTTTGGGGCTTACCATAACACACACTGTCAAGTACTGAGAAGATACTACTGCACCTTGGTTAAAAAATACCCCACCTGCAGTTTCCTCATAATATATGTATTATAAAATACACATCATTAAGTCTATAGTATTAAAAGTTCACCCATAAAAACTGCAACCTCTTCTGGACACACAATCTATTTTCACATAGCAAGCAGTATGAATTAAATTCAATGTTATCCTTTTACATAAAAATTATGCTCCTATGTAAACCATAGATTCCATTTATATTTTTGACTCTAGAAATTAATCCAAACAATAAAAATGCATATTTAGGTAAGTAGCTGTTTTCAATTTTATCTAATGTTTTACAACCTATAGCAACAATACTGCCATAATACTGTCATACTGATAATTTCCAGGAATAAATACAAATTATAGAAGCAAGGATGATATATTTTAAGAGGCTTCAGTTTCTGAAGTGATATTTAACCTTATTACAGACTACTGCCTAAAGAAATTTTGAAATGTCATCTGAAATAAAAGGCTTTACAACATAATAAATATTTTAGTTTAAAAGAATATTTGTAATGGTAAATTTTAAAAGTACGTAAAAATTACATAAAATCATAAAAGTACATAAAAAATCTCATTCTAATTTCAATGACCTTATTTCCAAATTCATAAAAGGCACACAGTAGTAAGCTGTATTGCTTGCCTTTCTAACGTGAACCCATAGCTTTAAGTTGTGTTGACCATCTCTGACAGAAAGCTACCCACAAATACACAAACATCCCACAGGACAGACACCAGAGTGATGTCATCTTGCTACTAAAAGGCAACTAGCTGTTGGCAGTTGTGGGCTATGACAGGAGATCAGAAGTTATTAAAAATTAAATTCTAGTTGAAAAATTTACCATACCCCCATAATTTCATGGCACAGTGCTGACTGTCTGAGTGGTTTATTGAAATCCTCCATGGTTACCTTTCAAGTTTTTAGAAAAAGAAAAAATAAACAGTAATTATATTAAATGCAGAAATGCAGTCAATCACAAAGCAGTCAGATATATATTTACAATTTTGCAGTGGTTCACCCTTCACCTCCTTCTTTATAAGATACTTACTCCCTTTTGCTCTTCAGCCTTCAGGTCAGAGCCATTTTTTTTTTCAATCTGAATATTTAGCAGACAGTAAAGAGATACAGAAATGCAAGTTAAAATGGAATTGGTTTCTTTGCCTACTTTAAACTCTTTCTATCTTAAATATTTGGGGTAAAAAGGTAGAAAATGCAAAAGCTTAAAGAGTTTGAGGATTCTCAATATATTTCAAATGCTACCAGAGCATTCCTTGTAATTCTCTACAGCAAGTACAACAGGTGCATGTGCTCACAAGTAATCACCATTAAGAAAAATACGAAGATGTTGTTCCTAAACTACTTTCCCTCTGTTGCTATTTATAGAACTAATGTACTGTAAATTTTCAGAATACGCTTCTCAGATCATGCTGTAACCTTCAGCAAACATTAGGACTCGAAGGGCAGGCTCTGGAAATCAGCTGGGTGGACTCGGCTGCTCTGTGTCTAAGTGGAGGTTTTCCTGGCCAGGTCCAAGGAACGTCACATGGGATGTTATCAAATGAAAGTGAATCTAACTCTGGAATCATAAGATGATTCTCTTAAATGACAAAAGTAAAAGGTTAAGTGACGGACTAAACACATTTAGGGCCTGTTCTCACAAAAATAAATTACTAAATTAGCCAACTATATGAAAGGAAATCATATCAACTTTTAAAGGATAATTAATCCACTATCCATTATTGATTTTTCTCAGTTCTTTCATCTTTTGGACATTTTATTCTTCATTAAGTATAAAAGTAGGGCTGGGGAGATAGCTTAGTAGTCTAAGCACCTGCCTGACAAGTGCAAGGACCTAGGTTCAATACCCTGTACTGTATGGCACACCGGCCACTGAAAGGGGGCGGGCATGGTGGGGCACACTGGTAATCCCAGCGCTGGGGAGACTGAGACAGAAGGATCACTATGAGTCTGAGCTGCATAGTGAGACCCTATGACAAATAAATTTTAAAAAATTTAAATGAAAGTGAATAGAAAATAGATATAATATTAAAACCAATCAGTTTAACATTAGTGCAGAGTTTTTTTTTTTTTTCAGATTGGGTAACCAGTATTAAGTAATAGCAGTGAAAGTCTTGATACTAGAGTGAATTTTCAGTATGTATAGTTTTCATCTCTCCTATGGAGACAAAGTTAGGAGTTGGTTTTACTTGAGCATATTTAAGAAAGGAATACTCCAACCGACAAGAAAGGGAAAAAATACAAGACAGAAATACAAAGAAAAAGACTAGCATTCTCAGTAAAATAAATTTTACTTGGAATAACAGTAGTGAATATCTGATTTATATAACTTCAAGGAAAAAGCATGTTTAGCAGAGAGGTAACTCTAAATTTTTAAACATTTCTAAACTCAATTATTCTACTCTTTAACCTCTATAAAGATGAGGCTTATGAGTTGCTGCCTAGAACAAATAATTGCCATATATTCAATTTTCTTATTACTAGAACTACTGAAGAACCCCGAACTTAAGTATCATAAGAAGCCCCATCACATTAAATAGGGTTCCTCTTTACACCTTCTGTTACCCAGCGATTCTGCACGTGCTGAATCCCAAAAGACCCACCTAGAGCATCCTGTAGACGCTACTCAAAAACAAGGGAGATTCTAGGTTTGGAGCCAAGACGACTCTATTCTAAATCTAACAGCATCAACTACTCACTCTACACCTAGAAAAAAAACTTCAGTTGCTGTTCTGCTAGGAGAAAATACTCTTTTTATTGTTTTAAAGATTAAATGATACCATATGAGTGTCTTCTCTTATAATGCCTAACACTGCCTATTGGCCCTTCCTATAAAAATATCTGGTCAAGTGACAATGAACCACTTTCTGTGTAAAAATAGGCAAATTCTTTAGCTATTTTCCAACTGGAATATGCTATGTTCTTAATTATGAATGTGGAATAAAAATATTCTTTTTATATTTATTCAATATCCTAAATATATAATTTCTAGCACATATTCCAAACACACACACACACACACACACACACACACACACACAAGCTTTACTTTCTTTGAGTTGAAAGCATTTGGTGATGTGATTAATTTCTCGAAATACCCAGAGGATACTGTGGTATGTGGGGAGCCTCAAAAACCAGGTGATTTTACTTTCTTCCTTGCTTTGTTAGAACTGATGTCTTGCAACAGATTTATGGAATGACAGGTACTGGAAGAGATTTAGAAAGCTAGCTCCACCCCCGATTTAAAAGCAAGGATACTGAGCCACTGAGACAAGAATACTGGCTTCCTCCCCTTCCACCACTTGATGTCACCATATTCCTCTGAATCTCGGAACCACACTCTTTCTGGGAGGGTGTAGAGGTAAAAACTAAACCTGCAGAGGATGGCTCTACAATCCTCCAACAGGCTTTCAGCCAAAGCTACTCAACGTCTCTAATGAAACACAAAACACTGGAGCAGAGAACTGAAAACCGGGTAAGATCCAAGTTCAAATATTTGAGAAATCAACATTTTAGTTTTAGAATCCAACGTAACATACTTTCATATATACTTATTGATATAATTAATAAGAAATTACTTGTCATTTGAAATGGACTCTACAAGTGAAAAAATAGAATTTCAAGAAAATATTCTTTTTAGAGTTTCTAATAAAAGTTAATTGATACACCACTTCTAATTTTCCACTACAAAAAACAGAGACTATATCCACTTTACACTACTAATATATGGAAACATAATATGCATTTGTGTTAAAATAACTCAGGATAAACAAACAGGAAATTTTTATGTTTTAGTTTTTTGGATAAATTTAAATGTCCAATTATTAATCTTCTCTATGTCCTGATTAAAAAACAAAAAAGTTCTTGAAAAATAATATTTTTAGGTGAGCAGAGGTAAACATGGACTTCCGCCATGCTTCCATCGGCCGGCATAAAGAGTATTTGCTAGATGTGAATCTGTACTAGGTGCAAAGTACTACAACTAAATTGTTGACGGATCTCTTGAAATGACGATACGAAGCCTGCGTCCACAGCACTAGCCCATGCTCTCAGTGTACATGTGGCATTCACATCAGAAACAGACCAGCATCTATATTACATCACATCATGTGAACAAGGGTTCCCAAGAGCCATTTTCACTTGGGAGGTAGCACGGATCCACGGCCTTGACTGTCCCCAGAAGCAGGCGACAGATCATCCCAACATGCATCTGCTTGGTGGAGCACGGGCTGAGGGCAAGCTCGGCCGCCCCGCACCGCGCTAGGCCAGTCACAGGCAGCAGACCCAGAGGCCGTCAGGGCACTCAAGAGGCAACAACCTTAGGGAGTACTTTTCTGTGTACGCTTGTCTAAGTACTGACAGATATTTTCACTTAAAATGCTTACTTAAAAAAAAAAATACATAGACAAACCATCTAATTTTAGCAGTCCAAGTAGCCATTCACAATCTGGTGTTCTGAGCCCTTTCTGTTTTATAAATTTCTACACGACTGAGCGCTAAAAGGTGAGACTGCTCTACTCCAGGTCGCACACTGCCCACAGGGTACCACCACCCGCTTCCGTGTCTCTGCGAACACTGTTCTGTTCCCGTGAGGATGAGCTCGCAGCTCCCTGGACACAAATTCTCCCTAAGAAGAGGCAACGGGCCTCCAGAACCGTCCCCACTGCAGGAGAGTCCCCAGGCCCGGTGGCCAGCTTACCTCGTCCTCGTCGGCGTCGTACTGCGCGTAGCGCTGCTCCAGCAGCTCCCGCTGGCGCCGCTCCTGCTCCAGAGTCTGGCTGATCAGCTGGGCCACCTCACTCACTTGGCCCGGCTTTTCTCTCCCAATAACAAATCTGTAGAGAGTGTAGGGAAGACTGCTGCAGTTAGGATGCTCCCACCAGGAGGCAAGCTAAGAAAAGGCGCTGCGGCGAGACCCTCGCAGTCTCCGAGTCCCCCCAGAGAGTACGCCTGGGCACTGCAGGGGTGTACCTGGCGGGCGGAGAAAAGAGTAATGCGAGAGAGGGCTGCACACACAGCTCATGAGGAGGGAAGGGGAACACCAGAAGTGTAATTTATACATTTTTGACACCTTAAACCATGGAAAGAAAAACAATTTCTATATTAAATTTCATCATTTCCATACTAACATCTTCTTTATAATGGAAAAATTACTTCAAGAACTATTTGAGGTATAGCATCACTTCACATCCATAGTTAACTTGAAGGACACTGACCTTTTGTTAAGTTACTAGAATTTTGCTGAAAAGAAAAGGGAAACATAAATAATATTCTGCTTTATTTTTAGAAGAAATTCTTCTGAGGAAAATGATGGTAGGTGAAAGTGCAGTCAAAACATAAAAAGATGAACGAAACTAACTGGTTGATATTAATACTCATGAGGGGAAGAAAGCAAGGACAACATTTACTTATTACAAGCACCACATATGACACATTCTTCTCAAAACAATGCATTTTAGTTAAGCAATTAGTCTCTCCTTAACATGGTTCCACAATAACATATTTTTCTTTTCTGTGACATAGGGTCTCACTATGTAGTTTGGGCTGGTCTTGAATTATGTAGCCCAGGCTGGCCTTAAACTTACAACAATCCTCCTATCTCAGCGCCCTCCCCCCCCCGTGTTGGGATTATAGGGGTGGGTCACCATGCCCAGCAATCATTCTATTTTTCTATCATCAAAAATAATATCTCCTAAAGATGCAGTTTCTAAATAATACTTAACATTTCTCGGAATGTGATTCTTAGTCTTGCTTCTATAGTTAATTGATGGTTTTCGTTGATTAAACTGCTATATTCACTGGCAGTTGTGAAGATGGTGGCATGGTAAGCAGCAGAAAAAGAGCCCATCTGAGAGTTCCCATCCACACACTGGAATATAGCAATGTGAGGAAGATGAGAAAGGAGGGAATAAAACTAATAAAAAAGATTTTGTGATCAAGGAGATTATGGGGCTATAGAGGACAATGATCGACCATGTAGAGTATGTCTAAGGAGAGTCACATGGAGAGAAAACATTCTCTCAGGCTTTCACAGACAGCAAATTGGCCAAGCACTGGCCGTGACGCATCCACATGACTAACACTGCCAAAGGTTCCACAAACTGTGGTACAGGGTTTCAAGGTAAATCCTGAGGAGAGTTGACTGATCTTGTCAGATATAAAAGTTACATTTCTTGATATATAGGCCTTGCTTTATCTTGGTCTTAACCATCCAGCAGAAAAGTATAAAAATGAAGTATACAAAATAAAGCCATATTAATATGCTGAGCTATAAAAGGCTCAAGTCAATGACTTCTGACATTGCAGGTCCTATGAAAAACCCACTACTATTATGGACTACTGGACTATATTGGAATATTTTGCTGAATTCATGCACCTACAATATTTAAATGACAGTGGAATACCCTTCTCTGACAAAACAAAGGAGATATAAATGAAGGATCATTTTTTATATGTATATTCAAGATAGGATAGATATACAGCTACTTTCTCTTAACTCAAGGAATAGAAAGATTTGTTCTAATAGTGTTTGTGGACATGATATCATGTCTGCATCTTGTACTATAATAACCACTATGAAGACAACAGTATGCAATATATTAATTATTGAAACTGTTCTACTAATTGGTTTTGAAACTGTCTCATCGTTATTTCTCAGTAAGATTTTTTAAAAAGGAGGGAAGTGGGAGTCCTGCACCCAGAAAGGATCTGAAGTGAGAACTGAAGCCCATGGAGAGAGTAAAGAGAGAAACTTCAACAAAGATGAAGGAGGTAGCCATAGTATCTTCCTAAGATGGAGAGCAGTGATTCAGACCTATAGATACGTGGTAACCTCTGGACACCACGGAGGCCCCCCCAGAGAGATGCAGCAATAGAGCACAACCATGGACTAAGAAGGACCACACTAGTTGGCAGTGAGAGTCGAAGGCTTGGTCCCTCTGCAGGACAGAGCTATCGACCAGAAGTCACCTTGGAAAAGGCTGGCTGAGCTGAGAACCCAGAGTGGCTGTTGGCTCCAACTAGCAGCTGCCAGTCTCAGGCTCACAAAACATATGCTGACAGCCGCAGGCCAAATGAGTCTGATCTAGGCTAGGAGGTGCAGACTTACTGAGATTATCCACTAACCTGCCCAAAAGCTACTGATGGCTTGGCTGGGATAAATCAACGTGGATTGGGACCCTTGTCTCCACATGCTGTCTACCAGTGACAGCAGAGGCACAACTGGAAGTGGACTTTTTCCCCATTTGTTGTTGTTGCTGTGATGGCTTTTTTTCTCCTTCATTGTTTGGTCTTGTTTTTATACATGTTTCTAGCCTCTTTGTGGTTGTGGTTCTATTCTTTTGATCTCTTCCTTCTCTTTCCCTCCAGTCTTCTGTACCAGTTTCTCAAAGTTAGTGAGCTCCTCCTTTGACCTCCAGCCTTCCACTTCTCTATTTTCTAATCCATTTTAAAATTTAACTCCAAATTTAATTTTGAGGGCAAAATTGACATATTCTGGACTTGTATACTGTATATAATTTTCTGGTTTGTTTTAGTATGACCACAAATCTAGTTCATATGGCTAAAGGTGGCAAATTAATGGTTAGCTCAGTTTGTCATTTTCTAGGCCGTGTTTGATGCTATTGTTGTCATTGCTGATGGTACCACTACAGTTAAACATGACATAACTGTTCTAAACAACAGTCCTTCCTGGTATTACAAGATGAAGACTGACTAAGGGTTATAGAAAATACTGTGCCACCGTGCTGAAGAACAAGGACCTGGGCCATACAGGCAACACCTTTTCACCCCCATCAAATTGAAGAGGTAGGATCTTGAAACAGACTTAAAACTCAAAAAATTAAGATTTTCTCCTATTTTTCCTTATGAAGTATGAAATCTTTTTATATTAGACCTATGTCTTTTAAGTGAATTTTTATGCATACTATAAGAGTGAAATTTCATTTTTCCAAAGGAATAACCAGTTGTTGAAATATTATTTGTTGAAAACACTATTCATTTATCATCACTAAACTACTTGTATACTTGAACATATTTTGTAAGTTGCTTTCTGGAATTCCTAATATATTTTACTGATGTGTTTGTATTTATACCAGTATCATACTCCTTGATTCCTACATAATATGTCCTAAACCTAGGTGGAATGAGTAAAACTCTGGGCATCTTTATTCTTCATTTGCATATAAATTTCATAACCAGCATTTATATTTGTAAAAGAAAGCACCTTGTGGTTTGATTTGGAATTGCTTTAATTTACAGAACAGTTTTTGGAAGAAGTAACATGTAAGCAACATTAACGCATCTGGTCCATGAACAGAGTGCATCACTAACCTTATTTAAATCTTCACTATGTGTATTACACTATAGTTTTTGGTACATAGGTGTAAGACACAGTTCATTTGAGTTATCTCTCATGGTTTTTGAACTTATTGTGATACTAAGCTTTACTTTCAGTTTTTAGCTATTTGTTGTCAGAATACAAAATATAAATGATGTTTTGGCCTGATGTTCTGTGACTTTTCTGAAGTCACTCATTAACACTATGAACTTTTTTTTGGTAGATTCCTCAGGATTTTTCTATATAAAAGATCACACCTGGGTCAGGGCTATAGCTGAGTGGCACAAGTGCCTGCCTGGCAAATACAAGGTCATGAGTTCAATTCCCAGTACCAAAAATCAATCAATCACACCTACTATAAAGGTATTTTTCCCTTTCCTATTATTTATTTCCTTTTCTACTTACTTTCTGCACTGGATAAAGTATATAAACTATGTTCAAAAGAAGGTTATGAGTAGCCATATTTGCTTTGCTTTCTGTCATTCTAAAACAGAAGTTCCCCATTCTCTCAGGCTTTCACAGAGAGCAAATTGGTCAAGCAATGGCCGTGACTCATCCACATGGCTAACACTCACAAAGGATCTACAAACTGTGGTACAGGGTTTCAGGATAAATCCTGAGGGGATCTGACTGACCTTGTCAGATACAAAAGTTATATTCTTATATAGGTCTTGCTTTATCTTGGTCTTAACCATCCAGCAGAAAACACAAAAATGGAGCATAAAAAGTAAAGCCATACTAATATGCTGAGCTATAAAAGGCTCAAGTCAACAACTTCTGATGTTGCCAGTCTTATGGAAAACCCACTACTACTATGGACTACTGGACCATATTGGAATATTTTGCTGAATTCACGCACCTACAATATTTAAGTGACAATGGAATACCCTTCTCTGACAAAACTAAACAAAAAAGGGGGATAAAAATGCAGGACAATTTTGTATCTGTATATTCAATATAGTTAGGATAGATATACAGCTGTATTCTCTTAATTCAATGAATAGAGAGGTTTGTTCTAATAGTGTTTGTGAACAGGATATCATGTCTGCATCTGGTACAATGAATAACCACTAAGACAGCAATATACAATGTATTAATTATTGAAACTGTGCTAATAATCCATTTGAAACTGTCTCATTGCTATTTGTTTTTCAATAAAATTATTTAAAAATAAATAAATAAAATATAATTTCTCAATCTAAAGAGGATGATTTCATTTAGAAACATGGTTTCTGAGATGGAAGATGCCTAAAGTGTTTAATGTGTTAAACTACAGATACACTGCTATCTTGAATTTCTTCTGTTTTTGGTAAATATATGTATTAACACATCATGGCTAATAATATATACAAAGCAATTAAAAAAATCATTCCCTAGAACAGAAGTTTTATTTTATTTTTTATTTCTTTATTTTTTTAATAATAATAATAAAAACAAATAGGAATGAGACAGTTTCAAATCAATTACTAGCACAGTTTCAATAATTAATACATTGTA